GCAGCACCCAGACGTTTAAGTGTATTACACACACAGTGTGGATCCAGGTGGGTGCCAAGGGACAGGCACAGCACCAGTTCTGCTGTGTCCCTAAAAAGTGAAGTGCTGTGGTGTGCTCAGATCTCAGCCCACCATGGGCTGGGGGACAGACCATCCAAGGGAGCCAGAGGTCACCTAGGGACTCCCCAGCCATGTAGAGCCACTCAGGTGGGACACAGTGAACTCTGCTGCCCAGCAGAGTGGTGGAATCTTCATACCTGAAGTGTTCAAAATATGTGTGATGTAGCACTTGGAGATACTGTTTACTGGTGAACACGGTAGTGCTGGGTTGAAGGTTGGATTTAATGATCTTCGAGGTCTTTTCCTTAGTGATTCTATTCATTCCCCTCTGCCTCTGAGCAAGACCCCCAAGAACATCAGGGCTGATCCTGCACTCCCAACTCACTACACCACCCACAGCTGCTCTGTTCTCCACCCAAGCAGGATGAGGCTCAGCACCTCCACAAGCAGATCTGCCCTGGGGCTGAGAGTGCCCTGAGAAAGAACTTTAAATCTCTGCACCCTTTGTACCGAGGCATGAGAATAATTACCCTCACATTCCCTTTGCAAAATTGCATTTGCCTCAACCTGGCTGCATGGTATATAAATAAAATGCAGCAGGACTTCACATTCCTCATTTTCATTACTCCTCAGTAGGACCCTCAAGGTGAATAACAAGGATATGTGAAGCCACGTGAGCCACAGATGAATGGGTTAACAGAAGCAGAGCAGCTGCATGGCCCAAAGCCACACAGCAAGTCAGCACTGGGAAGAGCTGGAACAAGACCGAGGAGTTTAGCTCCAGTTTGTGGCGGGTGCCCAGTAAAGCGCTTTTCCTGGCTGTATGGGGAGAACAGGTGGCAAATCATTACCTCCTCAGGACTCTCTATGGAATAAATTTGGAGCCCAGTTTTAACCTTCAGCTTCAAGGAGGACACAGCTGTCAGTAAACAGACTTGAAGAATCAGCTCTAAGTCAGCCTCCAGATGATTTAGTGTGTTTTTCCAGTTGGGACAGCTGGACAATGGAACTTTTTGTGGTGGGGTGGACAGGAAGAGGAGCATCCTACCTAATCGATGCACCGCATGGACAATCGTAGAACCACTTCCAATCCCAAGAACTTGATTGTTCTGCAAATCAAAGAGAAACAGGAGAGCTGTTACTGGGGCTCCACACACAGCCTGTCCACTTTTTCCGGTAAAATCAGCATTATAAACACATGCAGGAGGAGCCTTGCCCAGAGATGCAGGCCAACACATTGTGTTTTAGCACGCTGCAGGCAAGGAAGGAACACACTGTGCCAGCGAGGGCACGACCATGGTCTGTGGCCAAGGGATTTTAAGCAACTTGCCCTCTCATTAAAGGACATGTGCTTGCTAATTACCACCACGGTCTGATCTCAGGGTGTTCAGTGCTCACTCATGGCTGGTTGCTGGCACTCCATGCAAGCCCTCCTGCCGGAAAGCTGGGAGTTTCACACAATACCACAGAGGAAGAAGCGGAAACAACCTCCAGATAACATCTCCCAAGAAAGCCTCACAGTACAAGCATGGGTTTGCTGCCAACCGTATTGTTAGTAACCAGCACAGATGCACCAGTGGCCAAAGCAGAGAGCACAGCAGCCGTTTCAGAGGATAATAAAATCTGTTCTCCAAAACAGTGTAAAACTGCTCATATGTGAGTCCAGAAACACTTGGAAGGTGGATAAGTCTGGTGTGCTGAAAAGGGTCAAATTTTAACCACAGCTCCATCCTGGCCTTTCTCTGCTTATGGTCTGGTTTATGAAGTATCACTGCTGTCTTGTCCATAACACAGGTACACTCCTAAAAGGTGCTGCAGGCTGAGGATGGATGGGTACACTTGTGTTACTTTTGCAAGAGGTCTTCTCTGTCACATAAATCTGTTTATTATCAGCTCAGTCTCCCACTCCCTGAGAGTGACCTGCAGCCTTTTGCACACTTCCCATTTTCACGTACTTGCCTTTCTTTGGATGGAATCCAAAGCTTAAATTGACTTAAGGAGGCCCAGTATCACTACAGAGACTTCAGATGAGAAAGACATGAAGCCAGCCAGAGATGCAGGCACAGAGCTGTTATGCATTATCTCTTGGACATTACACAGATCTGGAGCTTTTTCTCCATGTGAAGCAAATCCAGAGTTTGCCGGCTGTGGAAAAAGCCACACCTGCAGCATTTCAACCAGCTAACACCTTATTGTCACGCAAGTTTGCCTGGAAAGGTGGAGCTCAAGAGAAGTTACAGTCCCTTAGGATTACTCATTTCCCTGGTTTCTGCAGGTTAAAAGGTTATAGGAAACAGAAGTTCTCCAAAGCCAGAGACAGCCTACATCACAGCCCTCAGTAACCACCGTGACTCTGCAAAAGGTGAGGAAAGCAACAGATCACAGTTGTACATCTGCAATGTTGCCAGCAGAAACCCAACAACTCAGAAGGTTTCTCGGTGTCACCTGCCCAGCAGACAGAGACAAGCATGGGCAGCCAAGGAGGGGGCAAGCAAAGCTGCATGGAGGCTGGCAGGACATGGGCAGTACCGGTGTTCCCATGAGACTTGTTTCAACCTGGAAAGAGGCAGTTTCTTCTCTCTGCCCTCATTTCTGTAGGGTGGGACAGCTTCTTGGAGCAGCTGGATGCCCTAAAGGGATGGGGAAAGCCTCAGCATCAGCCACTCCACTGTAATGAACTGGGAAGAGCTCACAAGAGTCCTAGCCCCTCCATTTATCAGTGAAGAGGGGTGAAGCACCCTCCCTTAGATGGTGGTATGAGCTTGGGCTAAGTGGATTTCCCAGAAAAGCAGTTTTCAGTCAGTCTAAACTGCTGCTGTCACAACCCCTGCTTTACCAAAGCTCCAACCTCTCCCTGCTCGGCTCCAACCCCAGCCTGACCAGGGGCAAAACCAACCAAAAAACATGCACTTTTAAAAACGGGTGGGGCAAACACTGGGAAGAAGCAGAGCACTGAGCAGCAGCACCTCATGCAGAAAAATTACATTCCAGGTGGCTCACCAAAACCCCAGCAAGCAAAGCCAAGACACTGAGCCACAGCACAGCTGAGAACCCACATACAGGTGAAGTTGGCAGCAACCACAGCAATTTCTCAGCTAACCCAAGGGCCCAGAGATGCTGCCCCACATTACAGAAGCTGACAAGGCACACATGGAGCAGTATCAGCAGCACCACAGGGGCTGGCCAGTCCAATGTAAATTTCCAAGATTAGAGAGCAAAGAGCTCCTGCTAAAAGCTGGAGATCAATACAGAGCTGAGTTTGCTCAGTCCTCTGGGGCAGCAGGACCTAGGGCCCTCGCCTGTATTTTCATCTCTAACGGACACGCTCGCAGGGCCTGCCTTCAGAGGTGTTGTATAAATGCAAAGCCAGCTCTCCCCAAGCAGCTTACAGCTCTAAAGCCCCAAGCCCTGTGTCAGCCCTGCTCCTCTGAGCCATCACGGCCCCACAGCCCACGGCTCCTGAGGCTGGTCATCTCAGTGCCTGCTCCAGTACTGGGGAATTCTGCTCCTACAGCTGTCCACGGAAAGGTGCTGTGGGTAAACGCACCAATCTGACTTTAATTAAAAAAAAAAAAGAGGAACAAGTTATCCTCTCCTAATCCCCCCACCCACCCCCAGGTTCAAATCTGCAGCACAGTGCACAAGGAGATGATGTGCTGGCACAGGTAGGGATGGGCATAAAGTAAGAACTAGTACCAGTCCCAAGCCCCGGGTGCCACAGATTTACAGCACACTTAAGCGGGAGAGATTTGTCCACCAGAGTCAAACCCTGAAGTCAGTAGCGTCTCCCACACATCTCTGCTATGCAAGGAAAGGAGCCTGTAGCTTTGCTTTCAGAGATAACGTTGCTCTCTCTGTTAACAGCTATCACTCTAACTACCAAACACAAACCTATCTCTTACAAACAGCAGCTGCACCCTGACAGTGCAAACTGACAGTGGAGACCATCCAGGTCTTTGGCAGTGACTGTAACCTGCTTCTCCACTCGTTGCTTCAAGCCAACTTGCACAACCAGCATTACCCTAGACACCACCTATTTTACTGAGTATGTGTCACTGGCCAGGCACTGAACTTTAATCAGCTGGGAAACAGCCAGAAAGATTATCCTAAGTTTGCTGGACCACAAAACAGCACAAAGGCCAGCTATTTCACTAGAAAAAGTTCAAAAGTACAAGTTTTTCCCCAAATCAAAGGAGCACCCGCTTGCAATAACTCACAGAAGCAGTCATGCCTTGGCTCCACACCTTGTGACATGAGTCCTTCCTCCCACAACTTCAATGCACAATTTTGAGGCTTGCGTTGGGTAAGAAAGGTGATTTTTATGCAACTGCCAGAGCCCCCAGGCACTCCCACCCCACAAACAGCTTTTGAGGATGCTGGCCTGGCAGGGGGTTCCTTCCTTAGTCCTGGTTTCATCACTGCTGTTGCAAAAGGGCTTGCACAGCAAACAGAGATAAAACCCTGTGTGACTTTAACCGTTGATCTTCCAAGCATTCACAATCAGGCTGTGTCAAACCTCAAGCAGCTACAGTCCTATTGGACATTCAAGGGGTTGATTCAAGCCCCTTGCACTTTCCTCCCTGCAGAGGACAGGACATGATCCCCTGGTTTGGGGCTGCTGCTCTTCGCTCGGGTGCTCAGAAACAGGGTGCACCAACAGAGCACCCTGGGCTTGGAGAAAGGAGCAGGGCACAGCGTTAGCCTGAACTCCCACCGCAGCACAGCTCACAGAAGAGTGCATGGTGAGAGTTTGGAGGTGCAAAATGTTACCCCAAATTCAGTGTGCAGGGTGCTGAGCCAGGCAAGACACGGAGCTGCTGCTGAGGAGGTGTACACTGGCTAAGAGAAAAGTAGTTTTCTCCACATAAGGAACACAGTCGAAAGCAAAACACGAAGAGGCTCAGCAGGACCCATCCATGCATCCCAGCGTCCCTTCCTTGCAGCCTGGGACTGTCCATGCTCCAGGTGGGAGGTGGGTTGTCTGTACACCACACAACCCACCCGTGCACCTCGGGGCTGCTCCATGCACAGGAGGGCTCTGTACAACCTGAAGCCGTTTCATGCGCTCGGAGGTTCTGCTTCATGCCCTGTGAGATCCCGGCAGCCCTGAGCCTGCCCCTCCCCCTGCCCCCGGAGCCACTCTGTGTGCGGAGGGGTTCCCTGCATCCCAAAGCCTGTCCATGCACTGGGAAGCTCCGTGCACACCACGTGTACTGGGACGTCCCGGCACCCCAACCTCTGTCCCTGCAACCCCAGAGCCGCTCCGTGTGCTCGCGGGGAGTCCCGGCACCCCAGAGCCTGTCCCTGCACCCCACGGTCCGTCCGTGCACAGAGGGAATCCGGTCCGTGCACACCGTGTCCCCTCCGTGCACTGGGGAGTCATAGAATGAACCGGGTTGGAAAAGACCTCAAAGATCATCGAGACCGACCCCTCCACCGAGTCCCTGCACCCCGGGGCCACTCTGTGCACCGGGAGCTCCGCGCATCCCACGGCACTCCGTGTAGCAGCTCCCTGCACCCCGGAGCCCGTCCCGGCATCGCGGAGTCGCTCCCTGCACTTGGAGGCTTCGTGCGTCCCATGGCCACTTCGGGCACTGGGAGCTCCCTGCACCCCGGAGCCAGACAGAGTTTTCGGGGGTCTCTGCA